ACCACTTTGAGTGTATTTAAGAGACGCCTAAATAATCACCTGTTAATCGTCAACCCGAACATTCAAAATCTGGTCTAACGGATTACTGAGGTAACTACAGGCACACTACTCCCTTGATTTCAATAGATCATTTGGTTGCATCAAATTTGGCTCGGCGAAAATGTCAGTACACGTGCTGTGAAGGTGTTGTTCGCTGTCTTAAATGCTTCAACATTTTGCCATTTAGATTTCATTATCATTCTTATGCATTTTGCATACTAATACGACCTGCAAAACGTTCTGCAACTTAACTACTCTTCATGCTTACATGCAAATAGATTTTTAAGGACTTCTGTCATCTACTACAAATATACACACTGATAGTAGCCCTGGAAATAAAACGGGTTATTTTATGATTCCTAACGGCAAATTTCTTAATTCTAGTTAACACATGATGGTCATCCAGCTTGATATGCAGAAAATGTATCCTGTATTTTAATTCTCAAACAATTATATCTCTGATAACATCACATTTCCTGATAAAATTCCCTGTGTGATAATAAAGTCTATTGTGAATTGTTGGGCCTAAACAAAAGTACGACTGATTTTTCGTAAGCAACTAAAAACTACGCCCAGTACGTTGGATACATGAAAACGTAAGATAAGGCTTAAACAGCACAGCAGTAGGATACGAAATCGGTAAGGCCGCAGCGGCAGGAAGAAGACAGCCAACGCCACCTGGATTTTTTCCGGATCGTTAGGACGTTCAACAAAGAGGCTCCTCGGCTGCGTGTTTTCATTTGCCTGAAACGTATGAAAAAAAGCTCGTGTGGGTGATGGAACAGCGCAGGACTTCAGAAAGACAGAGAGGGCACATTATATTTTCCTAAAGTTGCAAATGAAGTCTACGAAGGCGGATGTGACTAACTAGCGAAGTTGCTGAGAAACAGCGACCAAATAAAAAGATTGATGAAAAAGAGAAACACTTTGTCTCGTCATACGACGCAAAGTAAGAGTGACGTAGCGTAGCGATATCTCCGACAGTTTTTAAGAAGCCGCCCACCATACACAGGTACAACACAGAACTGTTAAATTTACTTCCTGAAGCTGGAAGAAAAATACTTTGGGAAAAAAACTTAAATACGTTCTTGTGATAAATAGTTCCATGCGAGAAATACATAAAATAAGGTTTAATGAGAAGTCTGTGCTGAAACACTTATTACCTGATTTGCTTTTTCTCGCTGTTCTTCGGCTTCACGTTCAGCCTTTAATTTAGCAAAACGTTTTTGGGCTTCTTCTTCACGTTGAAGCCACAAACGTTCTTGTTCTTGTCTATAATTCATTATGTCCTTGTAAATAGGCTACAGTACCTTTGCAATTCTTCTAACCGTTCCTTCTCTTCATCAGAGCCATGGGTATCTTCTGCTTTGGGCGAAAAAAAACAACAAAGACACTCCGAAATTACAAATTTTATTTTTGAATCTGCAATAATAGTATAAAACTCGCATTACCTAGTGCATCGCATCGCCGCATATGAAAATGGAACAGATTAGCCATTTGAGAATATTAGATGGATTTACATTTGTATAGTTCCCCCTGCCGGAATTTTGAGCCAAAACTAGCAGTCGCTTACATTTTGCGGCGCAAACCGAACGAGTCAAGGGAATAACATTCGAGTTAAGCGAATTTGCATCTGTATTACTTTCAGCCGTCCAACCTTTAAGTAAGAAGCTAGTCCCCCGCCGACAAGTCGAAAGTCGGCTCGATGACCTTATAAGACTAACGAGGGTTGAACCTGAACCTGGTAGTTCAAAGACAATAAACTGTACCATTTGATCCACCCACAGAAAGAAACAGTCCTATTGAAAAAATATTGCTTCTCTCTAACCTCCTCCGAGATTAACCATTAAGTCGGAATAACTTAGTTTAAATTAAGTTTTAAAAAACCAGTTTAAATGAATATTTGTGCCAAAGTCCACCAGGAAAAACTGGATAACCGCTAAATATTCAGCAATTGCTAACCGGCAGTCAAGGGAATATACATCGCTTACGTGACAGCAAATGCTGGGAGCGCAGGAACTAGCTAAAAATCACGACACCACATGGAGTTACGCAAGCGATAAGGCATACCGCTAATCAAGGAAGCGTTCCAATTCCTGTGGTTGTGTTCCTACCCACAGCATAAATATAGCTAAATATGCAGAAATACCTTGAACGGACAAGTTGCATCTCCACATTTTAAAAGTGCCTGCAGC